ACATTTATTATTACCCAATTTTTTGGTAAAATATAAAAGATGGGGTCACGTCGGGTAAAAAGACACTAAACATGTCAAGCCTTAAAATTGCGTGCGCGCGCGAAACCTCAAAAACAAAAACGATACCCAAAATTGGTCATAGGCGACGCTTTAAAAGCTGTTACCGCTCATCAGTTTAGTGTTCAGTGATTGATGGCCCTAAAATGATTGCTCTCACTGCGACGTTCGCGGCGATATGTAACATGTGTAGCGCAATTGTAATTTTTGCGCGCTGGGGCACCGGAAGCGTATTTACGTTTATAAGCGTGTAAACGTGGGGGAGTTACACATTTTGGGGTTTTTTTTCCCCTTTTTTTATATCTGACATTTTTATTTATATTAATTTATTTGCACTTGTTATTGCCATTATATAGGGGGATAACAATCCCCCTATATAATAGCAAAGGCACACTGACAGGTCCTCTTTATGGACACATTAGGGGTCTCTAGGACCCCTAAAGTCACCTGTGGACCCCAAAAGAAGCTGATGAAGCAGAGATCTGTTTGCGGACACAAACGAGCACATATAGGCGATCGGCGGGCTATGGACCCGCTGATCGCCTATATGTGAAACACCCGGTACTGGGTGTTTGCATTGGACGGGTCTTTTCTGCCCGTGCGTGCCCGAGCAGAAAAAAAAATGCCGTCTTGGCGACGGCAACCCGTCAATGCAGCAGTGCCGTCCGTCCGTTTTTCTACTCCGGACGGCAAGAGGTTAAACTACCCAACCCCCTCCCCGGCATGATAAACTTACCAATGCTAAACAATCCTTTGATCCTGCTGTACTTTTGGGCTGCTTGGATACAAGCTCTGCAGGTCTTGTAGACTCCAGGGCAGTAGTCATGTCTATGCCCCCCTCTCCTGCAGACCATTCACAACAGCTCTAGGCTTCATTTTGTAAATGGTCTGGATGAGAGCAACAGTCTAGACCACGGCAATGGTGTCCAGAAGACCTGCAGCATTTACAGTTTGGAAACTGTACAAGCTTACACAAAAACATTAAGCAGTTAAAAACCCACAAGACTTTAAAGTGGTAAGTTATCCCTGAAGGGCATTTCACATGAAAGTGCAGCCCTGAGATTCCATATACACTTTGCGTTAGCATGGCCTAGCCTAGCAGGAGGACCATCACCAGGATTAGCCTCTGACCTCTATGAGGATCACAAACTGTTCACTGCAGCAGTTAGAGTCAAACATCTATAGTGGCAAGTTTCTGGGCTACTGTTGTAGCATCTGTTCTCAAATCAAGTGTTCAGGCTGGACACTTGTGCTATCCTGGTTGTGTATCCCTACATCTCCTGTCTTAATCTAGACGAGGTCCTCAAATGTCCTTTGTCAATTAAGGACACAGCATTTTAATTGTTAGTCTTGGCCTCCCCCAGCATTAAATAGAAGCAAGAGACCAGTGAACTGCAAATATAATCCAGATATTTAAAACTCAGTGTGAAGTCCCAGCAAAGAGGTTTACAGTCTCTAGGTGTCCATTGCCTGAATATTTGCAATTGTGTTATTTAGACAGGATGCAAAAAGATTGTCAAGTGTGGAATAAATCATGTATTTAGCCACTTTTTTCAATCACCCCATCTTGCCCAGTATTGGGGGTATATCTACAGTCTGCAGAGAACCACATTGCAGGAAGCTCATCTAGATATGCCATTTTCATATTGACAAGTCAGGCTGCAAGACCAAATTCAGTTGTATTTCACCTAGATGTACTGCAGCAATATGAAAAACACAGACTAGTCTCCTCATAGGGATGTTTCTCCCCAGAACTTTACATGATTTCCGCAAATTTTTAGATTCTTATCCTGTGCAGATTACATGGAAACAGGCCTACAGGAGTCACTGGACTGGAGAATGACTAAGGCCACAGGAGCTCCTTGGGTTTTCCCTTAAGACAACCATTACTCATAATCCCAACTGAACCTGATTAAGTATGAGTTATGCACTATCCATATACAGGAACACAAATATCTGCAACTCTTCGTTAGAAGAAACTGATGCAGCCAACAGGAACTTGTGAACTCTTAAATTCCTGTTCAGCCTTACTGTTAATCATTTACTAGAATTTCCCTCATCTCAGTTCTGCAGAACTGTAAGTGACTCAAGGTTTTGTCCCTGTTGTGTGACATTCCTCCCCCAAATCTGGAAGTACCCTATGGAAAAGACCATATTTTACCTAATTGGTTCAGTAGTAAACAAAATACACACAAGGAACTCACAGCAACCACATAAGACACCAGCAGGCTTTTAAAACATTTATTCTGCAGTAGATTTTACACTGTCCACATCAGTTTATACACAGGAGATCTGTTACAAATTGATAAAATACCCCTGTCTGCAGTGCATGCGAGTGTAATCCACTTTCCTGACTGGACAGTAAAGCAACTTTGTGCAAAGTACTTACTGCATTACCCTTATACGGGCTCCTGAAGTATTCATTGGGGTCTATCAGTATGCCAAGGCTACATTCACAGGATGCCCAATGCAGGTGTTGACAGCCATTTATGCTGCACCACTCTTCTGCTAAGGGTTCCATCATGGAAAAGTGCTGGACGAACAGGTTATGGTTGTCCTACCTCAAGCACAATGTACAGTTCAAGACCCTGCTCACATACAAAATAAGCACATTCAGTTTTAAAAGAAACCCTTCCTTAGGAATTGAGACTATTATTGACCCTTTCCTAAATGCTACTTGTCAGACCAGCACACTCACCCATTGAACCAGGAAACCTGAGATTTTCTTGACCTGAATACCAATTACTAGGTCAGTCAACCTGTTGAAGCTAGGTCAGCATACAGGCCAGGCAGCTAGCAATAGCAGACCCAGTGTTTTACTTTAGCCTATCCAGCAGGAGGTGGACCCGCTAGGTTACAGGTTTAGAGAAATTGCAATGATCTGTACATCTATGGAAAGTCACATTGCAGATGCTACTAAAACTTTGTGGGACATTTAAAATGCCGCTGGAGTAAAGATTGCATATGACCAGAATAGGCTACTCCTTCCCCCATCAACTAGCAACCCACCTACAAGTCTGGGAACACTACATCCAGTTATAGTAAAGGTGACAGAAAATTGCTTATTGAAAGGTTCCCTCTAACACACAATAGGCCAGGAAAGGGGGCAAAGGATTGTGTATGAAACCTCCCCCCTTCCCACCATAAATATGTTACCTTTTGGTCTGTTAATATACCCATAAAAGTCTATCTTGTTGGAAATTTTGTGATCTGATTAATATAGCACAAATGTTATAGTCTGAGGATTATACTCCTGGTATGGAAGAGAGGCAGGGTTCTGTAGTCTCATATTGTCCCAATACCAAAAAGGTTAGCGAGAGATCCTAGGACTGGAAGTTTGTCACAAAACACCCTAAATTGCTTGTAATAGAAATACCATCTGCCACCATTTCAAAGTCAGTTTGGAAGGGGTAGCACTTGAGAACTGAGTTAGTCCAAGTTAATAGATCATTCATTTAGACCACCAAGTGTGCCAAGAGGATTTCCCCCAACACCTAGAAATGTTGGGCCTAGAAGACATCTGCACTACCCATCAAAACATTTCATCCAGAGCCAAAAGTTAATGCCATGAGAAAATGTCTAAAAACCCATTCAGATTAAAAAAGTTGTCCACCCATCAATAAGACTGGCACATGGTTAAGCATGCCAGTTTGATCAAGCCTGTGTACAATTTCTAAAGACTGCTCTGCCTATGCATAGTAAAAGCAATGGGTACACTTTGAGTGACCCACACCAGCAGCTTAAACTTCCTATCCTTGGTGTGTCATTTAACCACTGAGCAAGAAAAGCCCACTGCAAGCCCAAGTTGCAAGTTTTATTTTACAGGGCAGAGGACTTGCTGCCAAATTGTAGTAGTACTAGGTGCCTGCACATCTAATTTCCAGCCTTTTAATGCAAGGCAAGGGGAGAACTCCCATACTCCAATACCTGAACTAGAGGGTATTTCTGCTCCTGGAAGCCAAATAGCAGTATCAGCTCAAGAAGCTGACATTGCTGTCGGGCCCATAAGTGAACCCATGCGTGCACCCTGTATAAGTACAACTTACGCAAGGAAAAAAAAAAAGAGATAACAGGCCAGGGCTGGGCTGAGGTGGGGGGGGGTAGAACCTACTTTCTATGCCAATGCCAAGAGACAGCACTTATGGGTGGGTGCACTTGGCTGAAAGGACTTTGTCCCAGCATTGACAACCATTCCCCAATGCAGACCTCATCCTAAAACCACAAAGCCTTTTAGAACAAGACTAGCTGTCCCCAAACCCCTTGGCTTACATGAGAGCAGAACAGCAAGTGCCAAGACTCTAGAAATAGGAAAAATAAAAACCCACTATAAAAACCAGTAAAAATGCTCACCAATGTCTATTAAGATGTCCGTCCACATATTGTCTATTTGTATTAGCTTGCTGTATAAGCAAATGCTCAGCTGCAAATTCATGTTTCACCTATCAGGTCATGAGACTAGCACCATGCCTCCAGGGAAATGACAACTAAATGCCACCCTGCCAGCTTTGGTCATTTCTCACACTGCCATCTAGCCTATCTGGAAAGAGACACAACACAAGATGACCAAGTAACTCCGATTCCTTAGACTGAACTGGCCAAGTAGATGGAAAGCATTAAACTGCACCAAGCTAAAAACAATTTAATGGACCAGGTTTGGCCAGATGTTAGTGCAAGTCTAGACCTGTGAAGTTCTACCTGAAGTCTAGACCTGTGAAGTTCTACCTGAAACCAAGCCATCAGTCTTACAGAAACTAAATATTCTATATAACCCACAAATGTTACTACGCTTGAAGGCCACATAAAACTAGTACAACTAGACAGAGGGTTTTGATCATGTTAAAAGATAAAAGTTGCAGTAGAAGTGCCGGTGTTAAATTTTCCTTAAGAGCATGCAGTTTCTTGATTGCTGAGAAAACTCAGAGGCTTCCCCAGCTTGAGAAATCTCACACATATGTAGCCTCTTGGGCATCACTTGCATCTGTGCCATCCATCTCCTGGTCTGCAGCCAACAGTTCACTTACTGGGGTCCCAGCTGTGGAAGTTGTAGGAGAGTCAATAGCTTCATCAGGACTAGCACAGTTGGGTGGAACCACCACTTCAACCTTCTCAGGTTTGTCTCCTGATGTTTCATCGTCTGATGAGTTCTCAGAAACAGACTCAGAGGATGGTCCATCTGAGGAATAGTCAGATGTTTCACGTTCTGTATAGAGACCTGGTGTTTCAGGTTCTGTATACAGGAGAACTGCCGTTTCAGGTTCTGCATAGAGGGGAATTGCCATTTCATGTTCCATATAGAGGGAAGCTGGCTCTTCATTTGTAACTGGTTGAAATGTAGCTATTGTGAAGTAGTCAGTGTGCTCTCCAAGCCTGCAAATATTGAAATGTTATAGTTAACGGCCTTTATCACACATGACAGTACAAGCCAAACACCAGTCAAGCTGCTATGCCATTTATGAAATGCATAAATGCCAACTGGTTCATACTCCAAAGAGTTTCATTTCTGTTAACCCAGTTCCAAGATTTAAGCAGCCATGCGAGAGCCAGGCTGGTGGCTTGACCTCTTCAATGCAGTTAATACAGCTTGGTCACCTCCCCGTTCCCAGCTTGTTGCCATATTTTTAAGAGCAGCAGCTGACTGACAAGTTTGATCTGTCTGCCCTCCCCTCCTATCCACTCACTTACAGCACATCCACTTGACCCCTCCCCCCACCCCCTCTCAGTCCTACATGTGCTCCATAAGTCAGTTTTACCCACACTAACTGCTTAGGCTCGTTTAGATTTGCTCACCTTCCACAAACTTCAAATGGGTCAATCCAAATAGTAATTTCATCTGGGAGGGGAAGTCTTGAGTATTCTATACCACAGTGCGTGCAAGCCTGAAGCAGGGACTCATCCACATATTGCCAGGAATTAATGCGAATACACCTGCAGGAGCAAAAGGAATTTAATTTTAGACAACATTCCTTTAAGCTAATCACCCAAGAGGTCACAATTATGTACACTTCTGGAAACTGATGCTCCACATTGTCATTTCCCATGCAAAAAGTACAGCATGGGTAAACACTCATCATTGCAAAACAAAGCTTAAAAGCCAATCTAAAAAGGTAAGAAATCTGCCGATTCCAAGGATACCCAATTTTGGACAAGAACTACTCTCGGCAGGCAACAGGATCATCAAGGCAGGAAACAGGATCCTCAAGTCAGCACCAGGAGCTTCTACACTCCTCCCTCTATAGAGGAGACATCTATGCTTATGTAGCCAAGCCTGCATGTTAAGCAGATATTCAGGTCTGCATCACCATCTTGGAATATCTGTCACAGTGGTGATATGCAGTGATAGCACCTTGCTCCACCCTGTGATATAGGCCAACAGAGCACCCAATTACATCCTGGAATGTATAATTGACAATTAAAAACTTTGCTATTCATAATATGGCACCAAGTTTGTCAATTTAGCCAGGATAATGTTTTGCAGATTTAGTGAGACTTTGTGTTACCAATAAAGGCCCCCTAGAGCCCCCCCTCCCAAACCATATAAGTAAAAGCATTGTTAGATGAAGTCAAGGAAAGCAGGACAGTAAAACAAATGGTTACCTATAGGCCTGGCCCTGGGCAGGCTTGTCAGGGTGCCAATGTCCCCGATACCGGTCATTCAGTAAACAGGCCAGATTCTTTCCCAGGGAGTCCAGCTGCTCTGACTTCAGAGTCTTCTTCAGGCTAAAAACCTTCATGAGGAAGTCAACAGCAGCCGCAATTTCCAGATGCATCTTTAGTATTGGTGAGAATCTAAAGAGACAAGTTTGTTAGGGATGCGTTTAAGATTTGACCAACCTTGTTTTAGATTTGTCCAGGGAGTCCAATTTTAGCTATAGTTGTCCAACATATATATTAGAGCCCAATGAGTTTTACAATGGTAGGAACCCAAGTTTTATCGAAAAGCTCCATGGGGCAGAAACTGCTGAAAGATTCAGGACGTTCTCATCTAACAATTCTAGAAATACTCCATCACTGTTCCCTAAACTAGAGGGGAATCTGAGTAACAACCCACAAAAACAAGTTTAAACCCCTTGCTTACATGGTCAAAAAGCATCAAAGGTCTGGCCCAGTTGCGCTTCAATCAGGCTATTCAACATTATATAGATTAACTTCTGACCAATTTTAAAAGCAGCCTCAGAAAACAAGAGTGCAATTCCACATTTGAGGTGCAGACTCCCACCGCCATCATCTACACTTCTATGCATCTTAGTATCGAAGGCAGCTGTTCTCAACCTGTGGATCGCGAATGACGATTTGCCAGGGGTCGCCTAGCGGCTCCCAGGCGCCTGTGAGAAACACTTCTCCCAGAAAGGTTTACTCTGCTGATCAGCAGAGTAAACCTTTCTCTGCTCTTTTTCCTGACATCGGAGCCGCCGGCCACCGTAAGTCAGAACCCCAAAACCAACCCCGCCCCCCCCACAGGAATGCATAGCTAGATTACTATTGGCTATTTCCCTCTGCAATAGCCGATAGCAAACTAGCTATTGTACCCGCCCTCTGCTGCCGCCAATCAGCAGAGGGGGACCTGAAGTTCTCCATCAGGTCCCCTTCTAATGATTGACAAATGAGGGCGGGTGCAATAGCTAGTTTGCTATTGGCTATTGCAAAGTGAAATAGCCAATAGGAATCTAGTTATGCATTCCTATGGGTTTTTTTATTCCGACGGTGTACACATAGCACAACAGGCCCCGCCCACCCCAGAAGCTGGTCACATGACTTGACACAACGCAAGGTCCTCCAGCATAGAGTGGAGGGAGGAGTGCAGACTGGAGAAGGGGAAGTAAATCTTATTCGGGGTAACTCACAGTTTACACTGAACTCTATGGGCTGCTCTGGTCAGTGACCGTACTGCGGAGTATGTACCTCATACGTTATATAGCCACACACTTTAAATCCAATTCTTATAGTTCCAGCTGCAGAGCCCAGTCCTGTCTTTGCCTGTAGCAGTGGTTCTCAAACTTCTGGGTCGCTGGGTGATTTCTGCTGCGCTAGGTGAGAGTACTCCTCAGCCCTCTCCTAGCGCAGCAGTGTCAGTTCTCCCGCCACGCTGCCAGATGTCGCTGCAGCAGACTAGTCATCAATAAATTTTACCATTGTGGGGTCACCACAACTTGGCAAATGTTACCAAGGAGTCCTGGCCCTAGAAAGGTTGAGAACCACTGATCTAATGATTAGAGAGCTTGTGCAAACCCAACTTATAAATGTTGAAACCTGCACAGGACTCGACATTCTGTCCATTATAAAATGATTAATGCCAACTGTGTTGAAGTGGGGTGAGGATGCTGTGCCATGCCTTCCCATACCCAGCAATAAGAACTCATGCCTCTGGCAGTATGAGACCAAATTATCCTAGCATTGTCTGCACAAGATTGCTTTAAAACCTTGGAGCATCTTCCACCAGGGCACTGTTCACATCGGCCAAGAGGTTTTAAAACCCACCCTTCACTGAAGCCATGTTAAAGCTCCCACAATAGGATGACATTTGCTCAGAAAGACTCCCAACTCTGCCCATGCTCTACAAAACAAACCTGACCTCATGTGACAGGTTCACTTTACCACAGCTGAAAAGAGGAACTAAGCACAACCAAGCAGTTTGCAAAACCTTTTAGCAAACTAGGATTTGGCAACTTAGGACAAATGCCAAGAAACCCACAAAGCACTGGCAGAACTACCAGGGTCGCAGCAGTCGCAATTGCCCCCCCCCCCTGGCCACCGAGATGAGGAAGAAGGTCCTGCAGGAGAGGGAAGTCTGGACTGGGAAGGGGACCACATGCTGGTGGTATTCTGCAGTGCTGGTTTTTTTATTATGTATTGCTGGGACTTGTAGTCCCTTATAGCTCATGGTATTCTGCTGTGCTGTATAATCAATTTACAGCAATGCAGAATAGCACCAACTATGCAGGACTACAAGTCCCAGCAATACATTATGGGGACGCTGGAGGTATTCTGCATAGCTGACTTTTATTATAATGTATTGCTGGGACTTGTAGTCCCGCATAGCTGGTAGTATTCTGCATTGCGGTATGATGATTATACAGCAATGCAGAATAGCTCCAACTATGTAGGACTACAATGCATTATATTTTTAATTAAGGATGCACCACCGCCAATAGTGGGCATTTTCACAAGTACTCATACTCGTGAAAATGCCCAGATACCAGTGTTGTCGAGAACGCCGACAGTCGAATTTGCCGACTTCAGCATCTGTGCACAGACCAGTATTATCGAGGAAACGGATTTATTCACAAAGCATTTCATGGAAATTGTTAATTGTGACCGTTAATATTCCATCCATCATTCATATTAATAACGGTCACAATTACAAACAAATACTTTGTAAATGCCGGTTTACTCGTTAATCCCATCTGTGCGCAAACGCAGATACTAGGTTCGAAAGAACAACGGCACAACATTTTTTAAACTGAAGCGGCTGTCTGAGGTCCCGCGCTTGCTGGGGAGCTTGGCAGCCGTCCTGTTAAATGCACAGTGCCATGGCGGCGGGGGGTTGGGGAAGCCCTTCATGGTTTCTTGCACCGGGGCCCTGAAGTTTCTAGTTATGCCTTTGCCAAAGGTTGCTTCCCTGGCATTTGCCTTCCCAAGTGGAACTCCAATTCTCTAGGGGAAAAAAGCTAGAGCCTCCGACATTTTAATTGCCCCTTGGCCATTTTAGCAGGATTATATCCAATTTGAGTCCTAGTGGTCAAGCAAACATCTTGTGGATATATCTTTTATACATTAGTTCAGAAGTCACAATTTGAAGATCTAGCGGTTTTAATACAAATGTCAAAGGCACAGTCATCTGCAACAGTCAGAACTTGCTCATTCTGCTATGCAAAGGAAGCCAGACTGGCCTCAGCTGACCTAGAATAGAGATTTTATGTAACCAGATTTGTTCATGAACCACAACGAAAGCAGAATATTCAGCCGGAAGTGTTAAAGGGCCAGCATCCCCATTTCTAAAAATCAGGCATTTTGAATGCACATTTTACATATACAGGGGCAGGACAACAGCTGTACCATACAGATACTACAAGCCATCTAGACAGATTCTCACATTAAGCTATCTGCAGTCTGATATCACAGCAGACAACGCTCTTGGCAGATTCTAGGTAAATCTAGAACAAGGTTAGCAAGACCCCCCTAAGCAAGTTGTAACAGTTAGATGATTGTCTGACATCTATATCTTGGAATTGTGACTGAATATACATAAAATATATCATCATAATTTCTTGTCCACTGGGACTTTAGTTTGTATAGTGTGAGAAATGTAAGAGAAAAGTTTTACTAGACAGGGGGTTGAAGGGCATCTATGGTCAAAAGCTGAAAAATACACCTGCCCACTGAACTACAACTCAGTGCCTAAACAGTGTAACATGATCATTGCTTGCTGGAAGCAATGCATGATGGGGTATGCATTCATGAGAAAGACTGCATCACATCAAGCAGGGAAAGGAGATGCAGAGCACACTGGGAATCAAGAAAGTTGTTATAAGTGATGGGCAGACGGAAGGCAGCACTCACCACATAAAAGGGATTCTCACTCTAGTCAGGACAACTACTTGCAGCTGCTTAGCTACCCTTTATCTGGAACAAGATCCCAAACACCCAATGTAAAAAGGCCAATGTGCATCGAAAGCATAAAGACCAGCATGACCCCCCCGCCCCCCTCCACAAATGAGCTGTGAACTTAATAGGTTGTAGGTCTGACCCTTTTTAAACCCCAAAGCACCCAAGGTAGCCACATCTTCTGCCCACCCCTACATCATTACATCATACTACACTGGCCCTACACAAAAAGTTAGCAGATTCTAGCATTCACAGTGATAAGATCTGCAAGCAAGTAAAATATGAAACAGAATCACAATTTTGGCAACAGAAAACAAAGTTAAGGACATCAGTGTGATCATATTTAATGAAATCTTATTTAATAAAAACCCACTATTTTTTGTTCTGAACAAATGGGCTTGCTTGACAAAAGATTGGCTTGCTGCAGTTAGGAGTACAAAGTAGCCATTTTGAAGGCAAGCCAACCACTCAAGGCAGTTGCAGCTTGCGGAGGAAGAATGATGCAGATCAGACAAATCAGGAGTATTTGTTAAAAATCTAAGTGTAGAAGCCAACTTGTCTGACCCATTTAAGTTATGGAAAGGGGGTGATTTACTAAAGGCAAATAGGCTGTTCACTTTGCAACAGAAAGCTCATTCTGAAAAGGACTTCACCCAGTGAATGCTGTGAAGCTCTGCTGACCTCTCATCCAATCAAGTGCATTCAAAAGTTTGTTCATTTTCCTTGTACATGATTGGGTATTCTGTGCAAAGGGAATTTTCCCCACATTTACAAAGCCAAATGGAAAAAAAAAAAAAAGAAAAAAAAGTCCCTTCATCAGACCACCTTCAGAACTTTTTTTTGATCTGGAACCGAACACACCAACTCCAATTGTAAAAATGAGGCAATTTCACACCACTGTTCCAATTCCAAAGCTTTTAAAGAAGTCCAGCATGCTGACATTTTTTTTGGTCTGGAATGCATAAAAACATGCAAATGCATTGGAACACCTACAACCCAAGCAAAACTAAATGACAAATTGGGGGGAAAAAAAAAAACAAAAAACCAAAAGACCTGCAATACATCAAAAACCCAAACAGCCACATTCGCAGAAAACGCATCCAGATCTGGAGATGGTGTGCACATACCAAGTGAAAATTTTTCAGGCAAACTGCACTCCTTTGCA